CCCCCCCTCCCCCTCGCCCCTTCCTTCCACTCTCTCTGAAAAGCAGTGGGAAAAATATCCATGGGTGAGGATTTAAAAAAAAGAGGGAGAACTATAGGAGATCCCAGTGGACTCTGTTCTGTTACCCTCTCCCCATCCTTTGGTTCGTATGGGATTCCCAGCTTCTAGACCACAGATACTGCCAATGTGTAATCAGCCAAGAGAATCTCCCTCCATTTTTGGACTCAACAAGAGCTTCCCATTTCCTCATCATCTGTCTCAGGTTTTCGAAAAGGGCTAGAAGCTTTGGAGAGACATAGATTCCTGGCTTTGGGAAAGAGACAATTTTCTCCCATAACGCCCGCACCAAGTAGTGGTCTATACTTGGAGCTAGTGGAGGGGCTCACTACTTTGGAAATAGCTCTCACTCTAGAAAGTCTGTCCTTGTTCTGACCCACTGGAAACTCAATGCTTCAGCCCTTTTAAATCTTCTTAGGAGTAGCTTTAACTAGTACTCACCTGAGAACAAAATAGGAAAAGGAAACACATTTACTGTCTGACCTGACATATTTAAATATTAGTCTGTTGAAACTGGCCATTTCAAAACCAAAACCACTTCAAACATGACCATAACAGTACACATGGAAACCAAACTGAAGCTCTGGTTATGTGGTAAAGTTCTTTTTTACAAAACTTAGGCAGAATCAGACACTGCCGTTTTTGCAAACCCTAATAATTGATTCAGACAGAGACGCTGAAAAGATGGAACTGTTCTGTGAGAGGCTGTTGAGGATTTTTATCATCAGTCCCACCCACTGCTGTTCACTCATCCCTAGACTGTTACCACCTGACATGATTAATGACTATTGGGGGCAACGTGACACAGTGCTGTCACAGGATGTGATGCCATATGAAGTATACTACACCTCCCATAAGGTGTTTTTTAGGTTCTTGCTCCCAAAAAGAAGCTGAAGCTGAATCTAAGTAAGATATTAGAGCATTTGAATTTTATAGAAAATTCAGGCAACAGAGAGACAATTAAAATGATGCTATGGGTAAGCAAACAGACACATTCCACATAAGAACTGATCTCTTCACAAGAGAGTGGTATACGAAAGGGAGGTTTTTACTGTGGAGGTTACATGGATGTTCACATTTAACAAAACTTATCAAATTGCACATTTAAGATCTACTGTGTGCAGGCCCTGGCCTGGTAGCTCAGTTGGTTAGAGTGCCATCTCAATAAGCCAAAGTTGCAGGTTCAATCCCCAGTCAGGGCATAAACAAGAATCAACAAATGAATGCATAAATAAGTGGAACAACAGCTCGATGTTTCTCCCCTCCCCCCCGATTCCTCTCTCTAAAATCAATAAATTTTAAAAAATTAAAGATCTACTATATACAAATTTTATTGCAATTTTAAAAAAGACACTTAAGGGATATAATAAATGAATAAAAAGTGTGGACCTTGCAGAGACTAATTCCAATAAACCAACTGCAAAAATGCATTTTTGAAAAGACAATCAATAGGGGAAATGTGTCTATGGATGGGGTACTATGCGAAAACAAGTAACCATCAATTTTGTTAGCTGTTATGAAAGAAAATGTTTGCCTTTTTTTAGAGTTATAGATATATAACAAAGATGATGTGAGGTCTAAGACATACTTTATTTTTTTTAAATCCTCACCTGAGGATATCTTTTCCCCATTGATTTGGGGGGGGNCCTTTTTTTAGAGTTATAGATATATAACAAAGATGATGTGAGGTCTAAGATATACTTTATTTTTTTTAAATCCTCACCTGAGGATATCTTTTCCCCATTGATTTGGGGGAGAGAGAGAGAGAGAGAGAGAGAGAGAGAGAAACATCAATCGGTTATCTCCCTTATCCACCCCGACTGGGGATCAAATCCATGACCCTTCAGTGCATGGAACAACGCTCTATCCACTGAGCCACACCAGCCAGGACTGAGATATGCTTTAAAATACTTTAATTATAGGTATTTATGGGTCAAGTGTCATAAAGTTTGCAATTTCCTTTCAAATGCACCCATTAAAAAAAAAGTATTCATATAGAAAGCTAGAGACAGAGGGAGAAATAAAGCAAATGTAGCAGACTGTTAAGACGTGGTGAGTCTAGAAGGGAAATGGTTTTCATTATACTATTCTTTCAATTTTTCAATAGGCTTGAGCTTTTTCCTCAATAAAAAACTGGGAAAAATACATCAGCAACAACAAAAAAGAAAGGAAGAATGAAAGAAAGAAAAGGGAGGGGAGGAAAAGAGGAGGAAAGAAAGGAATGGAAGGCAAGAAAAATCTCAATAATTCTTGAATCCAAGTGATGGGTATCTGAGGTTCATTATCTATTCTTCTAGTTTTGTATAACTTTGAAAATTTTCATAATCAGAATTTAAAAAAAGGGATAGCAACAATCTTGTCCTATTTCCCCCTAATGTTTACATGGCATCTCCCACTGGCCTGCACTGGACCCAGTGCTTTCCCAGTGCAGCACCTCACTTCATTCCACCTCCACCCTATGTTGTTATCGGAAGTTGTTAATGGAAATTTGCAGATGAGTGGTGAGAGAGGATCAGAGAGGTATGACTTTCCCAACCTCACACACAGGACTTCAACACAGTCGGATTCCAGAGCCTGCATTCTTAACCCAACAATGTCTGACTGGAAGCCCCTAAAACATCATCTCCTCCAGAAACTCATGCTAATTCTGTTTTGGCTTCAATACACTATAAGGAACTTTTCTATCTCCGCCTTGTGCAATGATAAAGGCCAAGTTCTACTGTTTGGACATCCACCTCTTCTGTAGCTCCTGCTGTTTCCAGCAGCATTTCCTCCTGCATCTACTTCCTCTGTCCTAGCAGCCAAACCCACAGCCAGATTCACCTCCCTGAAGCCTTGAGCGCCTCACAGTAACTGTGCTGCTTCCTAACTCAAAAACCCACTCCCTGTCTGTAGCTCCCCACCCAAATTCCTCAGCCAGACATCCTGGCTCCATTCTTCCCTGGCTGTGTCACCTTAGGTAAGTAACCTCACATCTCTGAGCCTCATTCTTCTTACCTGTCAAATAGGCCAATAAGAGCACCATAGGGTTTTGTGAAAATCAATTGAGATAATGTGATGAAAGAATGTAGCAGGTGCCTGGCACATAGTAGGCACTGAATAAATGTTCCTTTTCACAATTTGGCCTTGTCTCTCCCTCCCTCCCTTCTTTCCTTCCATTTATCCCCTCACCCCTCCCAACCCTAGTCTCCCCCGTCTGGCTGCTGAAGATTGCTACTGCCTCGGCCAGTCCATAGCTCATGCACTCTGCTGATGGTATGGCCCGCCACTCAGTGCCTCCTACCCCAGACTTACCCCCTGGGAGTGCAGATACTCCACGGTTTTGCTGATTGTGTGCAGGACGAAGCTGGCCTCCCGCTCCGAGAAGAATTTCTGCCGTAGGATCTTGTCCAGCAGCTCCCCACCCCGCATCAGCTCTGTCACCAGGTACACGTGTTTGCCGTCATCATACACCTGCCAAAACCTTGCCATCAGGCCCCTTCCCTCAATGCCAGGCCTGGACCCTTGGTCACTAGTTCACCAGAAAAGAATGACATGAGCCGGGGGCATGTGTTCTGCTCTGTGCTTTAGTGGCCCTAGCAGGCAGGGCCTTTACATGTTTGGGCCTCTGTCCTCCTTGGACAGGAGGATGCTGGCACTTGTCCTCTGATGGGCAGGAAAGCTCTCGAAGAATGCCCAAGTCTGAAGTGGAGGGCTCCTGGCGTGCAGCCAGACCAGAAGCATCAAGGGTCCTCCCTCTCCCATGAGCAGAGGAGGATCAGAAGTCAAAAAAATGGCAGACCCGAGATAAATCCTAGAGTCAAGGGCCTCAGTCCTCACCCGTTTCAAGGACCCCCACTCACATCTTTTAGAGTGATGATATTGGGGTGCTGCCCATACCGCAGAAGAATCTCAATTTCTTCCGAGGGATCCCGCTTGCTCTTGTCAATGACCTGAGGAAAAAGGGTGCATGTGACAGTGTCAGGGAGACAGTCTCCGGAGTCCCTCTCAGCCACCGAGCCCACACTGCAGGGCCCAGAATCCAGCCGCACACCTTTCACCCACCCAGAGCCGCAGGCCCCAACCCTCCTTGCGAAGGGCAAAGACTATACTGGCCTCCCCCCAGCCCAGCAGCCACAGCAGATACAAGATTGGAGGCCCACCTTGACAGCATACTCCATGTTGGTGGCCTTGTGGACACAGCGCTTGCACACGGAGTAGGAGCCCACACCAATTGTCTCCTTCACCACGTAGCCGTCACTAAAAACCAGGTTCTTCCCATGCAGTTGCTGCAGGAGACCAAGAGGTGGGGCTGACCTTCTGCTTTAGAACGCAGGGGAAGTTCCCCAGCACCCAAGGCCTTGGCTCAGTGGAGACTGCACCACACAGGAGCCAGGAGGCCTTGGGTAGAACGTTGGCCATGTGACCTTGGGCAAGAATTTGACCTATATGATGGGCACACTCACTGGCTCCCATCCTGCAGTCAGAGGGCAGTTTAGTGGGCAGGCTTGAGAGGCACACAGGAGCCCTGAGCTGGGTCCCAGCTCTGCTACTTACTGTGGCCTTGGGTGAGCTGTATTCCCTTTCTGGGGTGTCACAGCCCACCTCATAAGGTGTCTCAAGATGGCAAGACATTAATAATAGCAAATGCTTCTATAATGCCTAGCGTGTGGCAGGCACTATTCTAAGCACTATCAGGTGACCACATGTCCCATGGACAACCCTGATTTGTGCCTGTTGTTCTCATATCCAGTCTGGTTTACCATTTGTCCTGGACAAAGATGTCCCAGTTGGATAATAAATTACATAGTCATGTTAACTTTATACATATTAATTTATATAATCCTCACAACCCTATGAAAAGTTTTTATCATCACCTTTATTTACAGATGAGGAAACTGAGGCACCAGGAGGGTACGTTCTCAAAGTCCCTCACCACTGTGGAAGTTCTGAACCCAGGCAATGAGCTCCAGAGTCTACATTTTTGCCTCTCAATTCTAAATTTTCCATGGAGCTGGGAAAGTGTGCAAATGTGGGACAAGTGTGAGGAGACACGAGCCCCTACGACCCATCCCTGTTGGGGACTCCACAGCTACCTCCCAGCACCACCACCCTGGGCACCCCCTTGCACTTATCTAGGTTCTACTATGTCCCTGGGTATGCCAGGGAATTTATATCCACATTGTCATCCTTGGTTTACAAATGGGGAAACTGAAGCCCAGGGAGGTTTGGAGGCCCCAATGGCTACATAGTGGTAATCAAGGTTTGAACCCAGTTCTGTCTGATTCCAGAGCCTGTGTTCTCATTCTGCCTGTGGCTTCTAGGTAGAAAAGGACAACTGGGCAGCAACCTCCTGGCCTCCTCACCTGTACCACTGAGTGCAGTGGCGCCTGGGTGGCCCGCGTCTTGCCGTCATCCTCCATCAGGCCAGTAGCCACGAAGCTGAAGCCACGGAACAGCTGATGGGCGCCAGCACTGGGGGGAATGCCCGGGGAGTCTACAGGGGCAGGAAGGGAATGTGAGCCTGAGGAGATGCCCTTGACCTGAGGCAGCCCAGCAAAGGGTGACTACGAGGCTTCCAGGCTGCCTCAGCAGCTGGCCACGATGGGAGCTTGGGCAGGACTCCTCATCCCAGCCCTTAGCTAGCCCATCTGTTTATGTGTGTTTAGACCAGACCAGCCCTGATACGAAAGGATAGAAGACCCCTACATCTGATGTGCAGCTCAGGCCAAGACACTTCATCCCTTCCTGGATGCCTCCCTCCCTCAGGTCCATCTTCTATGCAGCAGCCAGAAAGACGGTTCCAGCCACAAATCTATCCCTGTACCCTTCAAATGTTCCCCTCTGCCTGCAGGAAAAAGTCCAACTCCTCAGCCTGACAACTGAGATCCTTGTGATCTTAGTCTTTCCTCCCTCACTCCACAGCTCAGCAGTTTGGACTTTTCAGATCCTTAAAGGAGACTCTGAGCCCCTGCATATGCTGTTCCCTCTCACTAGATAATTCACTCCTTGTCTATCCTTCAAGGCTCAGCTCTCCATTCTCTGAGCAGCCTTGCTTGAGGTTGCTCCTCCCGCCCCTCGTCCCTATTAAGCTGTACTTATCACACTGCTGGGTAGCTGTTTTCATGTCTCTCCCCCCACTGTAGCCTGGACCATATAAAGGCAAGGTCTGAGTCTGTCTTGTTCACCATCAATCCTCCCATGGCTGGCACATAGTAGGGACCAGGGACATATTTGTCAAATAAATGAAGATGGGACAAAATACTCGGAGAAGCGCTAAGCTCCCTATCATCAGAGATGTACAAGTCACAGTGAGAAAAGCATCCCTTCTGCTAAAACCTGCTCCTCCAGGCTAACGCTCCTCCTCAATAACTGGCCAAAATGTTAGGATTTACCAATCTCCCTCCCAGAAGCCCCTTTCTTGGCTTCTTACAAGGAAAGAAGGGACTGAGTGGACCTATGGCTAAGCACATGTTCCAGATGAATACACTGAGGCCTGGAATCAGAGTAGCCAAAGCAGATTCCCACACTTGACCCTGACCTGTGGGCGCTGACACCTCTGCTCTGCTAGACTATCTCCACCTTGTTTTTGCTGGGTCAGATTCTTTATCCCTGACGTGAGTGTGAGTCTAATGTGTGTAGTCTTCCCACACACTGGGGAGTTGGTAGATGCCCAGGGCAGGGGTCCTGACTTTTCTATTGTGTCCTTAACCGCCCACTCACCCCCACCCCCTCACCCAGACACAAAGAACCCATAGAGCCCTGGAGTGGGAGAGTTAGGCAGAACAAGATGGGGACAAAGTCAGAGGCCCATCCGTGCCTGCCCATACACCTGGGCCTGCCAGAGTCCTGGCCACCCCTGCCTACCAAGGTGCCCCCAACTCCCTGCTTCCCTGCTGTACCAGTCCAAGACAAATTAGACAAGGGACGCACCCTTTGGTGTACGGGATGTGAACTCAGTGTCAAAGTACAAGGTGTCATCGGGTTGTGCCACGGCCGGCTTGAAGGGTGGCTTGATTTCACGACGGTACAGCTTCTACAAAGTGGGGTGGGCATTCTCGTTACCAAAGCACCCCCACAGCCTGCTGAAAGCCCCATGCAGGAGGAGGTGATAGGCCTGGGCCACAGGTTACACAGACAAGGGCATAACTGCTTGCCCGTAGATGGTCAGCCCTTGCCTCCCAGGCCATGCTGTCACCCTCTGCTCCACACTTAAGGCTTTCCTCAGTAGAAACCCCTCCCACCACAGTTGAAGCCCTGATGGGGGTATAGACACACTCACATTCCAGTCGATGGTGGAGTAGAAGACATGTCGCTTGATTTCCTCTGCCCCATCAGGGCCGGAGCCTGAAAGAGTCCAGATGAGGGGTCTGCGGATGGTTCAGCCTCCAGACACCACTGAGCAGCCTCACTGGTCTGGGACCAGCAGCTGGAACAGTCCACTGGGAGCATGGGGGAGGATGGGCTCACCCTGCCCCAAATCCACCCAGCCATCACCCCAAGGACTATTGCCCACTCAGCACTTTCCACTTCTGGGGCCCCTTATGATCAAGCTCCAATGTACTGATAAAAGAAAGAAGGCCCAGAGAGGTTAAGCAACTTGTCCAAGACCACACAGGACAGAGGCTGGACTTGTTCCAAGATCTGCAGAAGGCCTCTACCTCCCTCCTGTGCCAGGCCTCATCTCTGTTGTTCTTATCCCATTGCCTTGTCAGTCATCAAACTGGCTCTCATTCCATTCAACTCCAAGGACCTGGTTCATGGTTCAAGTGAAGCCAGGAGCCAAGACATACTGAGCAACTAGCACACACTAGACACATTCACGTGACTTCATTTAATCAACAGAGCTTGAGATCATCCTCTCCCATGAAGATGAGGACTTGGGGCACTGGAAGGTAAAGTCAACTGCCTTGGGTCACTTAGCTCATAAATGGCACTCATGCATTCAACAAATATTTATGGAGGCCCAGCCATATGGCTCAGCGGTGGAGCACTGAACTAGGATCCAGGAGATCCAGGTTTGATTCCTGGTCAGGGCACACGCCTGGGTTGTGGGCTCCATCCCCAGTTGGAGGTGTGCAGGAGGCAGCCAATCAATGATGACTCATCATTGATGTTTCAACTCTCTCTCTCCCTCTCCCTTCCTCTCTCTGAAATCAATAAAGATATATTAAAACAAAAACAAACAAACAAAAGAACAAATATTTATGGAGGGACCACTGCATACCAGGCAGTGGGGACCTGACATGGAGCTGGGATTGGGACCTGAGCCGTCTGATGCCTGAGCTCGTGTTCTTCCTCTTGTGCCAGCAGCCTTGGCGGAGGAGCTGTGTAGGGGCCTCTGTCCTTGTCCCCAGGGAGAGTGGGGATGACTCAGTTCCTGCCTTCCCCCTACACACAGGTCACCCCGCTGCCCCAAATACCACACATGGAGCCAAAAAGCAGGGTGGCCGGCGGCATTGTCTGCCCACACAAAGGACAACGGTCCCTTTCAGCCCCAGATGTGGCGCCGTGGCCTAGGCCGCAGCTGTACCCCGCTCCCCTCCCGAGCTGGGGTTGCTTACCGAGCCGGTTGGCAGGATTCCGCTTGAACAGGGCCCGCAGGAGGCTCTGGGCTTCCGTGCTCAGAAACTGGGGCATGCCTAGCTTCGCCCTGAAACAGCCCCCGGGTCTCATCAGGGCTGAGCCCCACCCCAGAGGCCCATCTCCCCTCCCACTTCTGTCCAGATCTAGTTTCCAGCTCATGCCAGACAAGCCATCCACTAACTCACCTCCCAAAGACTTCTGGGATTCCCCTCCCACAAGCCCTGGTGGATGAACAAGGGGCCCTGGAAAGCATAATGCTTCACCCAGAGGAGTGTCTCATTAATGGGGGAATCTGAGGCAGGTATAGGGTATTCTGGCACCCAAAATGGGGCCAGGCACGAGGGGACCCTGAGGTGTCAGGAAGGAGCTGGTACTTACTTCAGAATCAGTGTCATGGTCTCCTTCCGGTCCTTCCCCTGGAAGGGCAGGGAGCCTGTCAGCATCTCAAACTGCAGAAGAAAAGGGTCTATTCAGGCTCTGGTCCCCATCTCCCATGCCCCTCACTTCCTCCCACCTAGGCTACTCAGCTTCATTCCCAGGATTCTGGCCTGTTGGAGGTTCACCTGGATCAAGAATTGTGTCTGTCCCTTTCCCCTCTGTCAGTCAGAACACCAGGAGCAGTATTAGGGGCCAAAGGTGGGGAGAGGCACAGTCCTAGGCTGGGGGCACTCCAGGTGGAGACAAACCTGGAATCCTTCCAAGGAAGGAAACTGCAGCTGGATAAAGGGTAAGACAGATTGGCTATGAAAGGACAAAAGAGCCTTAGAGACCCTCAATCTCCTGATTGTAGAGATGAGGAAACTGAGGCCTGAGGCCTGGGTTGTATACTTTACCACTGCCTGGGAACTCACCATCAACACCCCATAGGACCACCAATCTGCACTGTGGGTGTGGCCCTGGCGGTTGACGACCTCAGGGGCCATGTACTCCACCGTCCCACAGAAGGAATAGGCCTTCTTCTCATGGTCAATGGCTTCCTTGCTCAAGCCGAAGTCTATGGCAAGGACAAAAGGACACATCTTCAGGACACTCCAGCATTCTGTGCCACCACCCCCTGAACACTCAACTTCCCTGCCCAGAGGCCTTAGGGCATCACCCCCAGGATATTCAAGAATAAGCTAAGGGCCCTAACCAGTATGGTTCAGTTGGTTGAGTGTCGTCCTGTGCACCAAAAGGTCACAGGTTCAATTCCTGGTAAGGGCAGATGCCCGCGTTGTGGGTTTGATCCCTGGTCAAGGTGTGTACAGGAGGCAACTAATTAATGCTTCTCTCTCTCCCCCTCCCTTCCTCTATCTCTAAAATAAATAAAAAATATATTTTAAAAAGGAAAAAAAAAAAAGCTGAGCCCCAGAGAGCCTAGGTGACTTGCACAATGTTACATGTGGGGAGCTGGGGTTCAAACCCAGGCCATTCCAAGCCTGGAGCCTGGGCTTTTGACCACTTCTCAGTGCATGGCACAACCTCTCAGGAAGAACAGATCCCTTAGCACTCAGCCCAGGCCCATTAAGAGCCCATCCTGCCCTCCCCTGGGACCTGATGGGGCAGGTGCCCTCTACTCACCAGTGAGTTTGATGTGGCCCTCCTCATCGAGAAGGATGCTGTAATGGAGAGAGAGGAGTCAGGGCCCCTCAGCTGTGGCTCCTTGATGGGTTCTGATGACACCACAGGGGCTGTGGGGGTTGGCCCAGCCCAGAGAAGGTGATCCACCCAGATGCATCTGATGAATGGGTGGGTGGAGTGGGGGGTGGCAGTGCTGTGCAGGTGTATTGTCTACCTTCTTTGCTAATCCTTGAAACACTGTGTGAGGTAGGTACTATTATGGCCCCATTTTAACAATGGGGAAACTAAGGCCTAAGGAGGTTAAGTAATTCCCCATGGTCATAGAGCTAGTAGGTGGTAGAGACAAGATTTGAATTTGGGTCTGCCTAACTCTAAAGCCAGATCTCATTCTACCTTAGCACCTGCCCCTGGCTCCCAATACCATATGAGGATATTTAGATATTAAGGAAAATTCTAGAGAGGCTGTATTGAGGAATGACTTTTAATGGTAGCATCTCAGATGTCATACTGGATGAGCATAACAGTAGGCAATGCACCTTCAGGGAGGCGCCTGGCCCTTGGTAATGTCAACACTTGTGATTAGGCAGCCCTCCAAGGTAAGCTTGCAGCCCAAGGGAGGGACTTTCTTTGGGAGAGTCATACCCACCCCCATTGGGGGGGCCCTGTCCTAGTAGAGGCCCCAGGGCCTGCCTCTGCACTCCCTGGGGAGGCTGGAGCTTCACTCACTTCTCAGGCTTGAGGTCTCTGTAAATGATGCCCAGGCTGTGCAGGTGGTCCAGGCCCAGGGCGAGCTCAGCCAGGTAAAACTTCACGTCCTCCTCCGTGAACATAACCTGCAACAGGCGGGGCGGGGTTTCAGCTGGGATCGCCTCTTCTTCAGGAGCTGGGCGCTGGGCAGTCAGCTTTCTGGTCCTGAGGGTCTACCCTGGGAAGGACCCTTAGGAACCCCAGTACCACCCACCATGCTGTTTATAAAGGGATTTGGGGTGTGAAACAACTAATATGCATATCACTCATTGCAGCTTGGAAATAGTAAAAGGTTGGAAACAGCCCAAGGGTCGAGTAGAAGACAGGAATAACTGCCTCTCCCTGCATGATCGCGTACTGTGCAGCCATAGAATACAAAAAGAAGTTTCTCCATGTTCTGATACAGATCGATCTCTCAGATACACTGTCTTGTAAAAGCAAGGTACAGAACAGTATCACAGAATAGTTCATTTTTAAAAAAAAAAATACCCGAGGATATGTTTATTGATTTTAGAGAGAAAAAGGGAGGAGAGAGAGAGAAACATAGATGTAAAAGAGAAACATCAATTGGTTGCCTCTTAAACGCACCCCAACCGGAGACCAAACCAGCAACCTAGGCATGTGCCCTGACCGGTAACCGAACTTGCTACCTTTTCGTGTACTTGACAATGCTCCAACCAACTGAGCCACACTGGCCAGGGCAAGAATAGTACTTTTTATGTAGAAATGTGGGGGTTGGGATTTAGAACATATACCAGAATGGTGTGTATTTCCGAAGAGACATGGGAAGCTTAAACAAAAAAACAATAAAAATGTTTACCTATGTGGGGGTAAAGGGGAGTGGGGTGTACTGAAGACTTCTCAATAATTTTTTCAGTCATATAAATGTATTACCTATTCAAACATTAAAATAACATTTTAAAAATTAAAAGAAAAGTTTGTTTCTCTTCCACAGCTGTATTAATGGTCCCATTTTTATATCTGGCTAAAATTATTTTAGGTCAGTTAAAAATCCTTTTGATTAACACATGGGATATAAAATTAAAGTATCTTTCTGGGTGGATTTGGGCTTCTCCCTGCCCTCACTGCCTGGCCCAAGGCAGCTCTGGAAGAATGGAGACAGAGAGGTGATAGCCACACTTAGCTCCCCAGCATCACAGTGGCATTAGATTCAAGGCCTGATCCTCCTCAGCCCATCTTGGAGGAAACTCTCAGAGGCTTTGAGAGTGTAAACTCTGTCCCAGGGTAGGTTCCTGGGTCAGAGACTGCTACACAAATCTGGGTGGTCCCAGGTCCCAGGGCCAGGCCACAGTGGACATGTCCTTCACAGAGCCCTGGGATGGGAAGCCTTGTTGTCTCTCCAGCTCCATCCTGGGGCCCTCTAGTAGTGGGGTGCCAGCTCACCTCTTTGGAGAGCCGTGTGAAGAGGTCCCCGCCACGCAGGAAGTCCAGAATAAGATAGAGCTTGCCCTCAGTCTGGAAGGCTGGGGAGAGGGAAAAAGGCAATGGTGGAGCCAGCTGGGCCCTGCCCCTCTGCCCCCAGCTCCCTTGACCTGCCAGGTGGGAGGTGGGCAACGTACAGGAAAGACAGCAGCCCACAGGCAAGGGCAAAGGTTGGCAGGTAGGGTGGGAACTCAGGTAGGGTCTGCGGTCTCACCATAGTGCAGCTTCACCACAAATGGGTGGTTTACATCAGCCAGGATGTCTCTCTCCATCTTGGTCCGAACGCGGTCACGCACTGGCCAGAGGAGAAAGGACATCATCAAGAGCCTAGCCATTCCCAGGCCCTGGCTAAGAAGGGCTCTCTTTTCCACCTGTTCCTCACACTTCATGGCAGTGCCCAGGGCTGGACGTTTGGTGCCCTTCCCAACCCTGTGGCCCATCTCTCACCATGCTCCATCAGGGCCGTTCAACCCATCCAGTTTGTGCAACCCATTCCTCTGAGTGCCTTCAGCTTTGCCCCTGGCGCTCCCCGGGATACGTTCACCAGCCCCCTCTCCATCGGGCATAAAAATCTCCAATTCCAGTCTGGGGGCTGGTGAGAATAGTCACTTAGGGAGCTACTTATAAGGGCAGATTCCTGGGGCCTCAAATTCAGACTCATGGGTCTGAGCAGACAGCTCCCATATACTTTTTTTTTTCCCCTCAAGAATAAAAGTCTCGCCCAGCTGGGCGTGGCTCTGCGGTTGAGCGTTGACCTAGGATCTAGGTGATTGGGGTTCGATTCCCGGTCAGGGCACATGCCCGGGATGCGGGCTCGATCAATGACTCTCTCATCATTGATGTTCCTATCCCTCTCCTTTCCTCTCTCTGAAA